CCCCCCCCCCTTCCCGATAAAAAAAGGATATTTACTTATGCTTCTCTATATCAAATTATGCTTATCTTTATCTTACATACTATATTTTACTTTGATGTTTTTATATCCGATTTAATATTTAAATATATATATTTTTATTACATTTCAGAGCGACTGATAACTAGCATCAATATCAATTTTTCTATTTTGATATTCAAAACTTTGAATTTAGTAGAATTAAAATTATACAACATCAACAACATCAGGTAGCAAAGATATAAAAAATGAAAATTGGTTTTGAGACGTTTAATCTGTTTTTTTTTGGTTGACAACCAAGAACAATTATAATTTAACATCCATCATTATGGTAGAGATATAGGAATTTTAATTTCTTGAAATCTAATTTTATGATTTAGATTTAATTTCTATTTTCTAGATTTCCTGATTTCCTGGTCTATCCCTTGATATATTGACAGGGCGTATTGGATATTAAAGTAAACTGAAAATATAACATGGAATTGGACTAACTTCGTTTAGCTTCCTCACAGAGATAAACTTTTTTCATTCACTTTTTGATCCCCCCACACCTAATTTTTTTCTTAAGAATATATTAATATGCTGACTTCTGAGTTATAATCAAAATTTTCAGAAAATGCCACCTAGGGAATTTTAATTAAATCCATTTTTAAGAAATTGTAGAAATCAAGTGCATTTTTAAGTCTAAACTCAATCGTACCTCTAGGTTCAAAGATTAATAAAGATTATTCTGTGTTTTTTTTTTCTCGATATTTTTAGAATCGTTGATGGCAGGGTCCCCAAATTTTGTGAATTTTCCTCAATTCGTAAGACATGTTTTAGCCAAAAAAAATCAAAGCCTTAAGTGAACTATAAAATTGCCCAATAACTGACTAAAAAAGACTTTTTGAAGTAAAATCAGTTAAAATTACATCAAAAAACTTTTTAGGGCCGCATTTTGACTGTCAGGCAGTTGATTTAGGAGTTTGATTTGTTGCTAAAATAAGTTTCATGACTGTTGAAGAAAAATTAAAAAATTTGGAGACCATGTCATATACTGTTAAAAAAATATCGTCAAAAAAACCCAGAAGAAGCATATTAAAGCCTTCAAACGAAATTGTTTAAATTAACACCTGTGAATGCACTTGATTTCTTCAATTTCTTGAAAAATTGATCTACTCAAAATTTCCTAGGTGGCATTTTCTGAAAATTGAGACTATTTCTCAGTAGCCTGCATATAAACATAATCCAAAGAAAAAGCTTAGGTGTTTTGACTTGAAACCATACGGTCCATTTTCAGCAGTGTTCCCTATTCAATAACAAATAAACGAAGGCCTTTGCACCCAAATAAGTTTTTTGTTTTTCATTTTTATAGTAATCTTTTTTTGTAGGGACAAAAAATTGATTTAGTTTAATCAACAATCTACCTATATCTGTTCAATCAACAATCTACCTATATCTGTTTAGCTCTATTTCTCCGTCTGGGACGTTGTTAGTGTTCAGTATAACAAACCGGGAGAAATAACCAGGATTATCCTGAAAATAGAAAATATTAAAATCAATGCTCTAAATTACATTTCCTTAGCCCCCCCCCCTCAACTGCTAAAATGCAGAACACCGTGATATTTACAGGGCACCAAGACGCTATTCTTATTTTTTTTATTACTTAAAATATTATTTTCTCAATATCAATTTTAAAGGTACAAAATTGCAGACCAATTTCTGATGTATATTGTTGTAACCTGAATACTGCAAGTGCCGCGTGATTTAAAAGTTGTCAATTGATCCTTTAGTGTAGTAATATTATTATTTGGTTTGAGACCACCACTGTATTCCTTAAAGTCAAGGGACATACTTTATATTCGATATGTCAAATTTAGATTAATAGAGACAACAGATCTTCCCCTTTGGGCTGCAAAGATATATGGATTAGAAAATCAGAGTTTGTGGCAAAGACTCAATACCTTTGTAAGAAAAAACTAACCTTGGCAAAAGCTGAGCCAATCATCCAACCCCAATTATGACCAACTATAAGAACATTAATAATTTACAAGTATGTCTAGAATGGTGGATAGATGATGAATAGAAAGGAAGATGATGTTTAGAAAGGAAGATGGTGTTTAGAAAGGAAGATGGTGTTTAGAAAGGAAGATGGTGTTTAGAAAGGAAGATGGTGTTTAGAAAGGAAGATGGTGTTTAGAAAGGAAGATGGTGTTTAGAAAGAAAGATGGTGCATTGAAAAGAAAATGGTGTTTAAGAAGATAGTATAAAGAAAGGAAGAAGGTGTATAGAAAAGAAGCCGGTGCATAGAAAGACGTAATGTGTATAGAAAGGAAGGTGGTTAGAAAGAAAGATGGTGTTATGAAGAAAGGAGATGGCGAAAAGAAAGGAAAACTGTGTAATAATAAGAAGATTGTGTATAGAAAAGAAAGTAAAAGTTTGCAGAATAGAAAATAGTGAATAAAAATAATGTAAATAGGAAGGTTGGGTAGAAAGTATATAAATAACTGAAAATGAATATATTCCTAAAGTAACAGATCCAGGTATATTAAGATGGGCCAGCAGTCCAGCTAGTGCACGCTTGTGTAAACTACACAATCAGGGGTTACACAATACATTCAGAGAATTCAGAGATTGTACTCATTAACAACACAATCAGGGGTTACACAATACATTCAGGGATTGTGCGTTTGAGACTTTATTTTTGAGTTCGGTATGATCGGTAGATACACAAGAATTCAATTTAAAATGTGTTCCAAAATTTCCATTCACATATTTTGAAAGTAAAGCAGCACTAAAGACAAATTTTTAGTAGAATTTGTTTAAAAGCATTGCTTATCAAATTATTTCAGGTAAATTAAACAAATAAGACAAAATAAACAAAATAAAACTAAAAATATCTTATTTTTCATCTTTATTTACAGAAAATTGTAGAGTAGTTTTATTGAAAAAGAATTAATAGCTTTTATTAAATCTACAGCAAAAATACCCTAATTAAAATGAAATGATTTTAATTGATAATTTCATTAAAATCATTCTACTTCAAAATCAGGAGAGCATATTAATCTGTTTCATAAATATTTGAACAAAATCCTAGGTTTTCTCAATTCCTGTTCTTTTAAATGATTGAAATGAAATTTTAGTTTTCTGAAAATCTACCCTTTGAAAACTCTGAATGCATTGACTTAGGGTTGTTAATCGTTCTTGAAAAAGATCGAAAAAAAACTATCGTTTTTTCGTTGTTCTAAAAACAATTGTTTAATTTTTTTAAACAAACAATCGTTTTTGAAAACGTAGCACTCGTATCTTTTAAAAAACGAAAAACGATCGTACGACCTACTTTACAAAACGAAGAACTTTTTCAAAAACTATTGTTTTTAAAACGACAGTTTCGTTTTCCGTTTTTTCTTCGTCGTTTTTTAAAACAATCGGGTTTTCTAAAAATGAAAACGTTTCATCCCTATGCATGGTTAGGTTAAAAAAAAGTATCATCGATAAAAAAAGATATTTAGTCCCTGTCTGCCTTTTCATACAAAGTCAACTTATATCCAAAGATATTAAAAGGATAAAAATAATCTTTTCCCCTTCATATAATTATATTGAATAAAATACAAATAAACTCAAGTTTACTTTTTCTCATTTTATTCACTTTTTAAAACTTTTTTAGATCAAATTGATAAGTCAAAAATGTAAATATTGCTTTATTTGGTAGAAGATAATGCTAACTTCCAAACAACAATTTTCATTTAATGACTATTAATAGTTTATAATGTTAAACAATTATCTTCAAAGCTTTTAAGGCTATTAAAAAAAAGGAATCTAAAGGACCCCGTAATGGACCCCCCAGACTAAGATATCATATCAGTGCTTAGGATCCAGATATCATTAAAATCTTCCTAATCGTTGATTAGTAAATATTTCACCAGTTGTTTCAGTCAGTAGAAGAAACGTTTTTACAATTACTTAATAACCCAACCAAAAGGTGTAAAAAAATTATTTTATATGCTAATTTGCTGTTTAGGGACATGTTTCTAAAAGAAATTATCGATGAAAGCCACAGTACTCAGTAGAAACGTAGAATTGATTATTTCATTATCGTCATTATCCATAATTTTATTTGCAGATTTCTTCAAAATGTCGTCTTCACAATTAAAATAAAGAAAACCGCAAACAAGCGACCCTACCTGAAAGAATTTACATAAACCTGAAAGAATTTGCATAAACCTAAAATATTTGAAAATGAATTTTAATTACTTATTTTCAATGCAATAAGTTCAGTTTTTCAACCTGTTTATATATATATATATATAAAGAATATATTTCTGAGAGAGTTGTGGGGACTGAAAGTTAAGAAAAGCTGATGCAGTATGATTGATCAGCAAAATGAAACCAGACACTATATTTTTACTTGATAGGAAACCCAGCTTTGCCCGGAAACTAAGTTTTCCCAGTGAAATACAACCTTATCAACATAGAAATTTGTAATCAAGCTATAACACTCCTTTCTAAGTTGCCCGAGGAAGTTGTTAAACGTTTTTTAAATATCTCATTAGTATACAGCTGAGATTTGTGTGTTGAGTGTGATAGGTTTTTTTAGCAGGTTTGGTTGATATTTCCGTGGATCCGAATATTTTTGTGGATCCGGATCCAGGAAGCCAAAATGTTCCGGATCCGTATCCAGATCCTAAGCACTGATTTTTTCCTTCCTCCCCCTTCCCTCATTCTGTCTTACACCATTTTAAGGGACTGTCGACAAGAAGGGAAGTGTACTGTTATAAATTGGTCATGTAATACTTAAAATAAATGGTCAATTGAAATTACATTGACATTCCCTTTAACTTATCTTTATTAACTAATTTCCTTTTTCAAGTTAACAAATCAAGTTTACTTAAAGCTCTTTATTAAATAATTTCCCTTATCATGTTAACAAATCAAGTTTACTTAAAGCTCTTTATTAACTAATTTCCCTTATCAGGTTAACAAATCAAGTTTACTTAAAGCTCTTTATTAAATAATTTCCCTTATCAGGTTAACAAATCAAGTTTAATTAAAGCTCAATAAAAATAAAGTAATGTAAGTTTATAAATGCCAGTGTAATAAATTATTCTACTCACGTTCTAGGATAAGTTTATCAATGCTTCCATTAAGAAATATTTATTTACTTTAGTGAACAAATAACGTTTTCAATCATCTAAGAATAATATGTATTTGTTATTATATTATAAAGTTTGTATGAACTAAACTGGAGAGTGTAAAGGCCTAGTATTGTTTCAACACTGGTTCTCAGGCTACTGTGGAGATAGAAAGAGAAAAAGAGAGAGAGAAGAGAGAGCAAAGTTAACCATATTCAGATACAAGGATAGATAGATAGAACTTCTACCCGGCTTCTATATACCAGCTGGCCAGTGTAAATTTATGTTTATCTGCAGTATTGAAGTTAATCCAGGGTTTTATGTTTATAGATTAAAGTGAAGAATAGAGGATAAGAGTGCCCTGAACGGTTTTATATGTTTTCCCAATAAATTTAAACATTATATACTCTTTTCTGTCTAATATGCATTGATCCATATATATAATTCATATTATTTTTTTTACAGTTCAGTATCTTTGCGTTTTTAGCATTCAAATAAAAACTCTGTTTGTATCTTAAAAACGTTAAAACGGCTGAACCGATTGGGTCCAAATTTTTTGTGGGACCTACCATGACCCCAGGAGGTTTATGGCATTTCAATTTTTGTAAAAATTTAGAAAATCCACAAACCAATTAGGGATTTTTTGGTTATTGTTTTACAGTGTACACTGTACACAATGAGAAAACCATTAAAGTTGAATGATAAGATAACCTAGTTTTATTTATATAAAAATAAATTATAAATGTATTAAATGCAAACCTAGAATTCTGGGAAACATTTCTAGAAGAAACCCCACTATATACAGTTTAGTTTTGGAAATTTAACTGACCTTTTTTGTTCAAATTATTAGAAAAACAAAATGTAAATAAAATATGTTTTTGAATAAAAAAAAATCTTTTTAATAATTGCTCTAACACTTTCCAGATGAGGTGTTGGATTTATAGAAACCGTATTTCTCTAACATCTCAGAATGTCTTGGGGATTATGAAAGCTCTACTAAATTCGTACCGGTCCAACCCTATCCTCGTACTGTACTGGGATTAATTACGCCCCATGATTGGCTATATACATTTAAAAAGTGATCTTCGCCGTATCCACCGTAGTACTATGACTGTGATTTACATCCATCTACTTTGCAGTGGTTTGTATTGTATAACCCCTGCCTGACAGTGTACGCTCTGTAATCAACGAATTTATCTGACTTTCCAAATCCAATAAAGTCCGGAGCTATCACTCTAAAACACGGAAAGTTATTATTCAATTCATAGTGATAACAATGATTACAGGGAGCAAGGATTTAATGCAAGGAAAGTTATTTCAGAGGTGTACGCATCTTTTGTACTGCAGAGTACTGTCACTGGGCAGAAATGTAAACACAAGACGGATGTCGAAGCCTGACATGGGATCCATCTTTCACATAAATAATCAATGAAATATTCTGGTCATAGGAAACTATTATGTGAATTATCAAAATTCTCAAAATTCAATGCTTTTAACCTCCTCGGATACTAAACGAACACTGAGGCATCTATTCTTGTTTACAAATTACGTAGAGTATACGCAACTGCAATTAACTTTCCTTGCATTACATTCTTGACAGGGAGTGAGTTTTATTAAAATAATGGGAACGGAAAAACAATTAAGAACTGTCAACTGCCGGGGTAATTTTCAGTGACCCTCAATTTCAGAGGTTCCATACCTGATTAACAATAAAATCCTTAGAATTTCATATTCTGTGTTTTTATCATTTAAACAAATAAATAAAATTAAATTTTCTTCCTTGTCTCTGTTGCATTGATCCGCAATTGAAAATTATTTTATTATCAGAAAAAATGTATTTCTCCAAAATTTTAACAAATTATATTTAAGGGGTACTGTTTGTGAATCGTGCATGTAAACTTTTAAATTTTAAAGTACATTGACAGACTCTGAAAGAATACGGGGATTTTCAGCAAAATATCAACTATTATCTACGATGTTACCTATATCCAGCTTTAGTCAGATAAGGTATAAGTTTACTCCAGCTGTGAGACCAGAATGGTTCTCCATGTAGCAAAACTTAACATGATCAAATGTTCATAACCTGACTTAAAAAAAGAAATAGAAATCAAAATCAAGGAACAGAAAAACAATAGAGGAACAAGAAACAAGATGGAGGAACAGAAAACAAGATGGAGGAACAGAAAACAAGATGGAGGAACAAAAACAAGATGGAGGAACAGAAAACAAGATAGAGGAACAAAAACAAGATGGAGGAACAGAAAACATGATGGAGGAACAGAAAATAAGATGGAGGAACAAAAACAAGATGGAGGAACAGAAAACATGATAGTGGAACAAGAAGCAAAAAATAACATAAGACAATTGAAAAAAGAAAAGGGAGTTGAAAAAAATGATTTAGAGTAAAGTACGCCTTTGTAATAATTTGTTTGATGTGCGTAATTATGATAAAACTAAGGTTCACGTTACTTAATGACCAACAGATCCAAATTAGACAACAAACTAGTTATCATGTAAAATAGCGATGTTGCGCAAAACGTATATTTTATATAAAATAAGTTTCTTCATATTATGTTTCCTTATCAGTGTCAAGTGTGATTAAAAATTTTGTATAATTTCTCTTTGAAATTTCCAGAGTTTTTAGTTTAAAAGCTAAGAATTTCATTTCACGAGCTAATATCTAAAGGCTCAGAACAACATATAAAAATACTTTTGTCTTTAGAAAAGCAAATCATAAATTGACTTTGTTTAATGGTTTCTCAAATTAAAAATGTACAACAAAGAAATTGAGATTTGGCCACAAACTAAAATGTTCTCATCACTATATCTTTGCAACCTGATGGTGTAAACCTTTGATATTCAAAATTAAGATGATTTGATCTAACATTTGAAATATATAAGCTCTACAACATTGGGTCACAAAGATATAAGGATAAGACAATCATAATTTGGGGCAAAGCCTCAATTCCTTTTCTTTCTTGATTAGTTCCTATTTTTAAATATTTTTTGTTGTTGCATTTGATACATTGATAAAAACGTTTGCATATTTATAGGGAAAAAATTATTATTCTAAAGGGAAAATCGGAAATTATGTGACTTTTTGCGAATTTTGGTTTGAGCTTTTTAGCTAAATGATTTGGACTGACGTATCTTTCTATCATTACATTTATTAACAAACTTATCTTAAAAATTTTTCGCAAATTTAAGTTGTCTTAAATATTTTATGCATAAACATCTATCAAGGTTGCAAACTTATTCTTCAGTGGTTGATTAAAGATATTTTATCATATATGCGCAGTGCGCACAGACTATTACAGTTAGTTGCACAATGAACTATCATTATTGAGCACATAGTACCTTTTGATTAAAACTCTAATAAATCGCTAAATTTAAGTTAGAAAAAAACGAATTTTAACAATATTTTTCTATATTACTTGCTGCCAATGATTTAATTGTAAGAATTTAGCCAAGTTCTGTTATCATGCTGTTAATTAAAATGAAAAATTAATAAGCAAAAATTATTATAAAGGGGCACTTCACTCTAGACATCATAAAACTGAAGATCATAAATTTAACATTTCAGATTTCCTATAGTTTCATTCGAGTAAATATTCCCTTCGTCCAGATAGTGAATCCTAGGCAGACCTTCCAGGTTTAGATATTCTCCTCTAAAATAAAAATCTACATTATAATACAAGACATTCGTATATATGTTGCGTATACTGTATAGCCAGCCAAACGACTGGGCCGATTGGGCTGAATTTTTTGTGGACAGGGGGTGTTAAAGACTGAAAAACTCTACATTTCTTACATTTTTTTTCTTCAAATCTTTAAAAAAAAAATTCCACGGGCAACGCCGGGTCCTTCAGCTGGCAATAAAGGAATTGGGTCTTTGTCACAAACTCTGATTTTCAAATCCTTAAATCCTTACAACCCAATGTCGTAGTCCTTAGATATTTTAAACTGTAAATTATGTTGTCTCAAATGATCAAAGTTTAAAATTTCAAACGTTTACACCAACAGGTTGAAAAGATATAATGATTAGAACATTTGAGTTTGAGGCAAGGACTCAATTCCTTTAGGAAAAATTTGATGAAAATTGTTTGATAAAATTATATTCTTTGACATAAAATTCCATTGCACTTTTCTAGAATAATCCTGCTCTTCTAATAAAGTTTAATTAGTTCGGAAAAAAAATCAATCAAATAGAAATTAATGGAATTAATGAAACAAAGTTGAATTTTTAAATTTTCTATTGTTAAAAGCTCTTCTTATTTGACGTACAATTGAAATCCTGCTCCTCTGAAGAAATTGTAATAATTCCGGAAAATAAATCCTGATCTTTCTCCTTTAATTGGAATTAATGGAATGTTTAAATAATAATCGACAAACCTGAAATGGTATCCCATCTTATAGGCATCCTTGAAATTTTTTTCAGGGGAACGAACAACTGGTAAAAATCATTCATTTTATGCGTGCAAATTTGACACATTTAACAAAAATATTGTGAGGATTTTCAAAATTTGATGAGAAAAATCTATAATTTATGATTTTCTTTGAATCATCTTTAATTTAGAATTAAATATCGGAAGGTATTTTTGTTTTGTTTAAGCGTTAAAAAAATAAATGTTATTCCTGTATGATGAACTGGCTTCGCATCTCTGATTATGTTGATAGGTATAGCTATCAGCTCGATACATACATACAGTGCCAGAAGAGCAGCTCCTTAAACAGAATTTTAGTTCAGAGGGACTGTAACGTAATTTCATAAGACCCGCCTTGCAAAGATGGAAATACCCGATTTACAACTATACCTTGAAAGATTTGTTTGATCAAATATAAATTATATATCAATGTTTATAATGTTGAAAACTTATTTTTTTTTTAGTTGTTGGTTCTCCAATAAAGTGAATTGCGCATTTCTGAACACTATGAATAGTTGACGGGGAATGAAATAAATAGAGTTTTTACTCTAAATTTATTATTTCACTTTCTGGTTTAAATCTAACGCCACCCCATTCACACAACCTATATCTAGGTTCCGTTCATGGCTGCACTATCTCTCCTGATCTCCTCTGGAATCCTCCAGGATGGCACCGCTATATGTCTGATACTTTGTGATCTTTATTATGTCCTTGTCTATCTTTCTTTACCATGTCATATCTCTAGCAGTGTCCTTTTTCCAGGTACTGATGTACCGAAGACCTTAAGGCCTTTCCGTGTTTACTTCGTATACAAGTCTGATCCTCGTCTCTTCTCGTTCTTCTGGAAACCCCAGAGGACTGATCCGGAAGCGCACATGTTCCTGTTGCTTGTGCGGTACCAGGAGGTCCCTCTCCTTGCTGATCTCCCTGCTCCTCACCTAGACGAGACCGCGCGCCCAAACGCACTCGGACTCAACTAGGAGGACTTACTCTAGCTGAGCAGATACCCAAGGTGTGTAGTCTTACGTACCCTACTTAGAAAAACGATAGTATCTTCCACATACTTGGACAGCAAAAGGTTTCAAGGGTACCGTCGTTGTGAATCGGACATTGCCATCTTTGCATGGAGGGTCACTTGAAAGTATGCCCTTTAAGGGTGGTACACATTTTATTTCTAACCTAATTTCTTACAATACATTATACGTTAAAAAAATATCTGCAGGGGCGGCAAGCAATTGCAAGTAAGCTGCCAGAGAGAATTCTTGAAAAATTAGATTTTGTTTTTCATAAATCCCTTTATTAAATAAAAAAAATGGGGGGATTAGATATCATCTTGAAAGTTAAAGGAGCAACTGAAAATAGCCTTTACATTTGTATTTCTATGACAATGTTTGCATGGACTCTTATTAAAAAACCCTAAACATTTCATAAGTCAAATATCTTTTACTTTTAGGATTTTTTTTTCATTGATAATAGGTGTTTATTGGACTAGCTGAAGTGACTCTCTATGCATAGATGACATTGCTCGATTAACTAAGTTAACCCTTGGAATCTTTATCTGATCAATAATGTGGAAGATATTCTCAGTTGTCTCGGAAGTGATCATTTCTGATAATTTATTTATGTTCTCATGCTGTAGAAATGCGTAAGTCACTTTTATAGAGAAACTACAATTGAAAATAATCAGTTTTTAAGATTATAACATTGATATCTAATCTATAATTGATCCGACAAAGTTTTTAAGGGTAATCGGGCACTGCAATCTTTACATTAAGCGTCACAAGAATTTACACTTTCTGTCCCTTTAAGAATCAAACCATTATAATTTGAAATACTAAAAACATGAACTGTACCTACGACATAGTCCGGAATCCCTAGCTCCAAGTTGTTGACCATCAGCTCTGTTGGATCCGTGTACCCCATCCTGTAGATATATATAATTCCCCCCTGATGCTTCTCTAGTGCATCTTTTTTCTGAAATCAAGGAAACTATGGCATTGAGCACAGGGTCATTTCAAAAGACGGCTGTTTAAATTAAAACTATCGAAATGCTCATTAGGTACAATTTTCGGACAGATGTTCTGGCTTAAATTAATTCATTTTTAAATGCGTTAACTTCATCCTTATACAAACATTTGAAGTTGTGTACAGTAATTAAAAGAAATGGTACTTGACAATGTACAATATTCTCAAAATGTGTGAAGGAAAAATTGATGGTTATTATTAATTTAACATAAATGTTTCATGTTTTTATGACAATTTAATTTTCGATCTAGATGGAACGAGATATAATATTAATGGATATCAAGACAATAAAAGTAATTTTCAGGGAAACTCCCGAGTTTTCATTTCATAAAAATTAAGCTAATATAAAAATCTCATTCCAGTCCATACTTTGGCATCCTATTACTCTTGAAACAGCTGGAAAACCATCCAAATATATCTTAATTATGATGAGGATTTTATATATTTCTCGCATTGAGGGCAAAGTTAATATCTTCAAAGGCTACGTTCAATCTAAGTTTAGTGTCCAGTCCCTTTCTATAATCCTCAGATAGAACTAACCGTTGGGAACTCAACCTGAAAACGAACATTTTCTGGGTAAAATGAAATAATTTCTAGAAGTACAGTTTTGTACTTCTTGTATTCTAAAGTTTATATCTCTTAAATTTAAAATATGAAACACTAGCTAGATGTATAATGATTATAATAAGTATCTTTTATCAAATCTTTCTTAGGCTGGCTCCTTGTCATTGCTTTTACACGTTTTATTCTTTGCCAAATCATCAAGTATACCATTAAACACCTTATTTTAGACAGGAAACCAAATTCGACTTTTGCAGTGTACAGTGTACAACTAACCTGACTACTACACTAACTATATGTACAGAGTAAACTGTACAGTCTACAATGTACAGTGTACAACTAACCTAACTGATACACTAACTATATGTATAGTTTACAATGTACAATGAACCTGACTACTACACTAACTTTATGTACAGTGTACAGTTTACAACTAACCTGAATGCTACACTAACTGTATGTACAGTGTACAGTGTACAACTAACCTGAGTGCTACACTAACTATATGTACAGTTAATACACTAACTATATGTACAGTTAATACACTAACTATATGTACAGTTTACAGTGTAGAACTAACCTGACTGCTGCACTAGCTACCTGTAGTGTACAGTGTAGAACTAACCTGACTGTTCAGTGTACAATGTACCGTGTAGAACTAACGTGACTGCTAAACTAACTACCTGTACACTGTACAGTGTACAGTACAGAACTAACCTGACTGCTGCACTAGCTACCTGTACAGTGTACAGGATAGAACTAACCTGACTGCTACACTAACCAAACCATGGAGAGAGGGAGATTTTACTCCTTCACTGGCACAGGTTTCATCAAACCTAAAAAAGTATAAAATATTAATCAATAGACTTTATGAAATCTTTGGTGGTATTTAAAAAGAGTGACCGACAATGTATGGTAGTTGAACTGAGATTGCAGTATTATTGAGAATTGTTTTTAGGATTCATTTGAGACCTAACAGACGTTTTTTGTTGCATATTTAAAATGCAATATTTAAAATCCTCATTGATTGTCCATTTTGGATGATTTTGAGAATCGGTTTTGTTTAAATTATGCAATGACGACCACGAAAAATGTAAAAAAAATTCTACAGTAAACAAATTAGTTGTTAAGGAACACGTTGACAAAATTAAAATTAACTATTATCATCGAAAATGTGGAATCTTATTCAGTTATTGGTTTCTGTAATGTCTCAATGTTCAAAACCATTTTCTGTAGATTTCCTGGAATTTTAAATGAAAAGACGACATTCAATTTCAAGAAATCTGCGAACAAATTCATAAAGAATAAGAAAAGAAACAGTTGATTCTGAAATTGATTTATTGACAAATTTCTAATGAGAAATATGTTCCTAAATATCTTATTAGTTGACTGTAGACATTTTGTTAAATTTTTTTTCGTCGTTTTTGAATAATTTTTATAAAACAGATTTTCAAGATCATTCCTCAAAAATGAACCATCTACGAAGATTTTAAATATTGAATTTGCGCTGTTACTAAACAAATAAAAAACGTAAAAACGTCTTATAGGTCTTAAATGAATCCTGAAAAATTTCTCAATAACACTGCAATCTTAGTTCAACTACCATACATTGCCGGTCACTCCCTTTCAATCTAGGTAGCTTTAATGTAAAATATTATAAAAATTAAATATGGTTGGTTTTTCTTAGACTTACTAGTTTCCTAATATTACCTGATGGATATATTCCTTAGTGTAGTTTACAAATATTACCTAATGGATATATTCCTTAGTGTGGTTTCCTAATATTACCTAATGGATATATTTCTTAATGTAGTTTCCTAATATTACCTGATGGATATATTCCTTAGTGTAGTTTAGTAATGGATATATTCCTTAGTGTAGTTTACTAATATTACCTGATGGATATATTTCTGAGTGTAGTTTCTTCAACTCCTGTCTTATAGAACTCATTCACCATCGACCTAAACACAAGCAAAACATGAAGACCTAAAAGGCAAAAAATTCAAAGGTTACACATTTTTTGAAGGCGGGGGGGGGGGAAGTTGGGGTAAAGAAAATACAAAACAATATGGAGTATCTAGACCCGGTGTTATAAATCTTACAAAAAGTTCCAGGAAACAAATGAAACTTGAACTTGTATAATCCATGATTGAGCCTAAATGATTGATAAATGATAATACACCTGAGAAAGAATTGTTCTAATTGGCTACAGGTCCGAATATACATCATCTTAGAGCTAGTGAACATCTCACGGTGAACCTTCAATACGTCCACCTGGGTTACCCTGACAGATAAATAAACTCTATTAATTAATTAACTAAACCAGTTATCGCACATAAAATATATCCTCAAGTCAATCAATTTAAAACCACTAATCAATAAATCGCAAAGCCATAACCCAAACCGTAAATTAATTGACCACGGTGTCCAGATTCTGCGGAATAGGTTAGTTAGTTGGCAAATAAAGACGATCTTTCATTTCTTCTTTAACTCTATGAGGCGTTGTATCAAAAGAAATGCTGAATAATGATCTTTTGGAATAACCTTCATTTGGACTGTTGTTGATTTTCACCAATGTTCAAAAGTACAAATGAACACAAAATTGTGCAATACAACTAGAAACCACGCTTCAAATCTTTGTCACCCAAAGTTTTAAAAACCTTGGTTCATTTGATGTTTTGTGGATTGTATAGATATTTCGTATATTAACAGGTTCAGGGACCTATCTTAGATTGATGGTTCCAGGGTTCAATCAGAAGGCCAGCTAAGGTAGATAACTTTTCTTATATTTGAATCTCTCGCGGTTCGAAAAGAGTTTTGACGTGTTGAGTTAATTGGATTATTCGTGTGTTTTAGAGTTTGAGACATTTTAAGAATACTGAGTTTTTTCTTTTGATTTACAAGAATGAGTTTTAATTTTAACCATTTCGCTTCTTTTCAGTTCTGATTCTACAACGTGAATATCCAGACGAGAATGGATGAGTTTCTCTGATTGATTACGGAATACAAGATTTCGGTACACAAAAGATGGATTTGAGATACGGGGTTCGTTCATATAGTTTATGGTTATGTTATATCGGTTTCGCCACTACATGATATACAAATTTTTCATGAATTTATCTATTTTATCCTTGGCTTTTATTAAAAAAAAAGTTTACTTTATCTATAAATCCTATTAAATGTCATCTTTTTTGCCAATTAACTAAATTCCTAGTCCACCCAATCTGGACACCGTGTGACCAAATGAACTATAACCATAGTGTAGTTAAATCTGATGTTACCTATCTCTTCCTTCCCTCTCACATCTCTCTGCTAGGATTCTACAGATATCCAGAGCTCTTCTTGCATCCCCGGAGAGACCAGCAACCTGAATGGTTAGATTGTTTACAAGATCTTAACCAGTTCTAAAATCTCGTTTTTGTTTGGACAAAGGTTAAAAATAAACCGGACGTCTGGAACATTTTTAAATAAATAATTTTACTAGTGCATAGTTATTATTTTCAACATGTTGGCAAACAACAACAAAATTGATGGAAAGGTGGATAGGTAAAAATAACGTAAGTTTAATCTAAATAACTCCTCCCCCCCCAAAAAAAGCTTACCGTTTTTATTAATACCCCCCCCTCCCCCCACCCTGGAAGGAAGTTTCCTGGCTCTCCCCAAGACAGGGAGTATAGTCCCCTCCTGACCTGCGAGGGATACAAATAAAATTCCCTGCCGGCGCTAGCATAGATGTGATTTACCTTTCTTGAAACAAGTTGAATCTCGTCGGACTGAAAGACCTCAAGACCCTCCAGTCTACTGGAGACTATACACTGCAGCTGCTGTTGATTATACGGCTCGAAATGGAGCCGATTGAATCCCAATCTATAAAAATAGTTTACATTAAAAATTTCAATGAATAAAAATCCTTTCTTTCTAGTTTCTCATTTACAAACTTTTTTCACTTAATAATTTTTTCTCTGAAGATATATTTACTATTTCTTTACTTTTCCGATTTTTTTTTTATTAACAATTAATTACTACTTTTTCAACAGTTCAGATTTGGGTATTTATTTGAAGTTTTTAGATCATATTTTGCCCCTTTGATTCGGATCCATGAATCCGCATCCGGATTCCCAGCACTGGCTAATGGTTACATGGTAACCGTAGATATAATGTACCTGCTAATAACTCGCATATCCATATCTCTTTCCGGTAAATCCATCGTGTTCGCAATCGCGATAATCACAACCTTGGCCTGGGGCCTGCTGGGCCACTCGAATATATTGTAGAGGACGGTCTGCTTCTTCTTACAGAGCATGTCGAGCTCGTCCACAAGGAAGATGGTGTGGGTCCGGCGGGGGGCGGGGGTAGAGAATCTGGTGTCTAGTTTCTTCATCGCTTGCTCATGTACTAACTTCTCACCTTCACATTTTTAAGTTAAACACATCTATTCCTTATTTCTAGTTCTTTCCTTAGAGAATTTAAAAAGTGTGAAAAGGCGTATTTTAAAATATTTAGAAATATTGAACCAACAAGTTCCCCCCCTTTACAGATACAAAAACTCATTTCATATCTTTTAGTATAATTACTTACCATCCATTTCAGCTCTGATTAGTACATACGAGAGCAGTACATACAGTACATTACAGCAGAGTACCGTGTCTTTTAGTACAGTACAGTATGGTGAAGTACTGCAGTACAGTACAGTACAGTTCAGTACATTACAGTACAGTGCAGTACTGTACTGTACTGTTTAGTAAAGTGCAGTTGATTCCTGTAAAGTGCAATACAGTTAATTGTAGTACAGTTGAGCACTGTATAATTTAGTACAATTTTGTACTTTATAGTGCAGTACAGTTGAGTTCTGTATGGTGCAGTACAGCTTAGTAATGTATAGTATAGTACAATGTAGTACTGTACAGTGCAGAACAGTACCTGTAAGGAGTCTCCACATCTCCACATATGTTTGTTCAGGACAGGTTAATCTCATTCCATTCAGTTCAAAGAAATTAAAATCCGGAAACTCATCTCTATGCAGAAATAATGAATTAAGATAAAAAATAAATAGAAAGGACCCGGGGGGAATTTAAGAAAGATAAAAAAGGGAAATTTTAAAAAGTTCAACACGGAAATTGAAGAAGGATAAGCAAATAAGGAATTGTATATAAAAAACAGTGGAATTGAAAATTGAAAGAATTAACAGGAAATTTAATAGATAAATTGAAAAAGAAATAATAATATTCATTTTGAAGTATTTCAAGTTTTATTTTGTTCATAATCTGTCCCTGTTATCCTCCATATATCTTATAACTTGCTTAACCGTTGCAGTTTTACCCGTACCAGGCACACCTTTAGTATACAGTGTTATCCATCAATTTTACAGTGTAATCAAATAAATGGTGTTATCTTTCAAAAAACCAATATAATCACTCAAATAATCGAGTTTTCATCAAATTTCCAGTTTATTCATGTACAAGTAAATAGATTACCAATCAAATTTACAGTGTAATGGATCAGATCACCAATGTTATCATTCAAATAAAACTGTTATCAACCAAATAAATAGTGTTATTCAAAGAATTTACAGTATAATCATTAATCAACCGTTTTCTATCAAATTTTCTGTTTAATCATACAAATCAATAGTTTATCAATCAAATTACGAGTGTAATCAACCAAATATATTGGGAAATCCATCCAATACAAAATAAGATCAATTCAAAAAAAGGTTTTCATTCAAATTAGAAGTGGATAAAAACAATTTAAAAATTGTTATCTGCCAAATAAACGCTTTACTCAAGCAAATTAACAGTGTATTCAATCATCAACCGGTTAAATTAACAGTGTGATATTAAAATATTGACAGTGTAATCAACCAAATCACGAAAGACAATCATAGTAAACAAATTCAGAAAATAAAAACTATTTATTTCCAAACCTGAGATATAAATACATCCACCAGTACCCTCCTGAAGCTTACTCTCAACATAACCAAAGATCTCTAGATTAATTAATATTGATCTCTCATTCAACTATATCAAAATATATAATTTGACAATGAATTATATTCAGTATTCACGAATTACAAGGTACATATTTTCTCTAAATTATTTACCCCCTAAAATACGACTTTGTTCACTTTTATTCAAGCAGGCTTTTATCACTGAATTTTATCTTTAAGTGACCAATTTTAAACAAATAAAATATAATTAAGGGGGGGGGGGTTCCGATTGATCTTTCAACTATGGGGTAGTTTTTTACCTGCGAATTCTTCTTCTCTACAGGGTAGTGAGTCAGGTACTGCTGACACATGAAGACGAAGTTGTGCTTCTACTAGAGGATTTAACGAAGATTTGACCGGGGCTTTGCGCTGCGCAACTCCGGGAGTAAATACACGACGTTCCAGTAGTTTGGTGGATTTTCTTCGAGGTGTTACAACTGCGACAGTTTTCTTCTTAAAAAAAAGAAAAAATTAAATTAACTTGTTGAACAATTTCAGGGGTGTATGTTGTTAGGAATTACCCCTCCCCCCCTGATGATTTTTGAAGATCTGAAAAAAAAAGAAATTCGACATCAAAGGGCAAGTTTATTTACTTCTTTATTGATGCTTTTATCTGTAAAAAATGTTTCAGGTCCGCACAAACATATTTAACTTTACAAAAAAAACGTGATTGGGGTGGGAGGGTATGGACGTTGTTCAAGAAAATGTACACCCCTGAACAATTTAATCTTCAGCTGGGAAAAATTCAGCTTTTGTTGTTCTTATTGTTTTGTACCTTAGTTTTAGTCTTCCTTTTCGTTTCTTCATCCTCGCTAGCATTACTTTCCTCACTACTGCTCTGAAAATTACACTTTTTGTACTGAATGTACCATTTAATATTTTTTACACTAATGTAATTTTTAGATTTTAAAATTTTTTCAAGGAAAGTAAAAATGTTTTGCGTCAAAAGTTTTAATTTCCCCCGAAGTAGAAAAATTTGAATAAACATATCTTTTACCTCCTTTTTGTTTTTTCCGAACTTTTTCTTGTAAGTTGGAGAATCCTTAATTATATTTTTCCTTTCAGTAATATTCTTAAATATTATTCTTTCCGGATAAATCAAATCAAATCAAATCAAATCAAATCAAATCAAATCAAATCAAATCAAATCAAATCAAATCAAACCAAACCAAACCAAATCAAATCAGTTCAAATCAAATCAAATCAAATCAAATCAAATCAAATCAAATCAAATCAACCAATTTCAACCCCAAGATGAGGTACTAAATTAAGGAGGATATGTGGGATATAGAAGAAAAATATATTCCTCGAAATCTGAGTCAGATTCTGATTCCTCTGAACTAGTTTCAACCACAACAACTCTCTTCGTCTTCTACAATATTTACAATTTTAATGGATACAAAAACAGAGACAAGTTTTTCATACTGTTTTTGCGGTGTAATATATGGAAAATGGATACTGGAAAGTGTTTAAGTTTAAGTTTTTCATATTGTTTTTGTGGTTTTTTATTTCAGTTTTTATTATTCGAGAATAGCATTTGATGAATAAAGATAGTACATTTTTTGTTAGTCGACATAAAAATTCGCATTATTGTACAAATAAAAAAATGTACTTTTTAAAGATTGAATAACAAGTAATACATAAAAGGGCACTTGACTTAATATAAAAAATCATTTCCGCCTCATTGTAATTTTTTTTTTAAAAATTACATTCTTTTCATCCAAAATTTTAAAAATTTCCACCTAAAAATCATTTATTTTCCCAAAGGGGGGGGGGGCATGAAACGTATTACTCTCCGGAAAATTTAAACAGTGTTTAAACATAACTTAGAATTGTCGTAGGAGGCTGGCTGATTTTTTGCATGCAAACTCAGAATTATGTATATTACATGCATTTTTTGGTTTTGAAAGAATCTGAACAAAATTGGGCGCGCGCGCGCTTTTTGTGAAAAATGCGACTTTTTTTACAGTAAATCAGTGTTAATTTCAATAATTGCACTTGAACATTTTTCCTGACACTCTTAAAACAAATATGCGCTAAAAAATTCACCTCCAAAGGCTTAAATAAAAGAAAATATCTTTGAATACTTATGTGCTAAGTTTGGCCCAAGTTAGAATAACAGTTGCATGCGATACATCAAACTATGGCAAAAATGGGACAAGGAATTCATTTCCGAGGTCAAAATGGACATTGAAGCATTCTGACCGGCGCGCTAGTAGCCAACCATTACATTATGGGTCATCTTAGAACATGATTTACATGTTGTATGTCGATTTATAGGTAATTTGGCATAAAAAATGTTCTAAGATGACCCATAATGTAATGGTTGGCTACTAGCGCGCCGGTCAGAATGCTCCAATGTCTATTTTGATCTCGGAAATGAATTCCTTGTCCCAATTTTGCTATAGTTTGATGTATCACATGCAACTGTTATTCTAACTTAGGCCAAACTTAGCACATAAGTATTCAAAGATATTTTATTTTATTGCGCGCGCGCGCGGATATTTAAGCCTTTAGAGGTTAATTTTTTTAGCGCATATTTGTTTCAAGGGTGTCAGAAAAAATGTTCAAGTGTAATTATTGAAGTTAACATTGATTTACTGTCAAAAAAGTCGCATTTTTTTACAAAAAGCGCGCGCGCACTTTTGTTCAGATTCCTTCAAAACCAAAAAAGCATGTAATATACATAATTCTGAGTTTGCATGCAAAAAATCAGCCTCCTTCGACAATTCTAAGTTATGTTTAAACACTGTTTAAATTTTCCGGAGAGTAATACGTTTCATGCCCCCATCCCTTCAGCGAAAACAACAAAATACTTTTTCAGGAAAATATACACCCTGTAAATACCCCCTCCCCCCTATTTTGTGTTAAGGATTGTTTTCGTAATCTTTGTGAAGAAACAATCTCAAGAACTGACGAGGGTCAACCCAGACCGAAATATATTTTTAATAACTGTGGAACTAACATCTACTTTCTTTACTTCACAGAGGTTTGGTCCATCACCATCACCGAATTAAAAAAAAAATATTTTCGAGATTTAACCCTTCAGTTTTCCCATCTAAAATGTACAAAGGTACAAACCTTAGTTTCAGACATGGTGAGAGATTTCTTTTTTGGCCCAGAGAGTTCAGTTCTTTTCTCAATTACTGCTATGCTTGCACGTCGAGCACGAGGCTACAAAATATATTTTAAGGACGCGAAAATGGAGTTTTTCTTTATAGCCGGAGCCGGAGCCGGAGCCAGGATTATAAGATAGATCATCAGACGTTCATTATGTGTTAAGTTTTGAGTCAAACAGGGTTACCAACAAATGATGCGACTTTAGAGACGACTGTACGGAATTTGTTTAGTCCCTTCTCTTACATTCAGGGTTCCTTGTAGGCAAAAACTGGTTTATTCTGTGCTTATCATTTAGTAAACCATTAAAATATTAAATTGAAGGCGGAAACCAAAAAGTAAGCATCATATTTTAAGTCTCACCCTTTATTAGTAACCCGGTATATGTACTAACATTTTATAGTTTACCAGGGGCGGCTTACGCTATTTTCCAGAGGGGAGGGAGATTAATAAAATATTGTGCACGCGGCGTGCTGAAATTTGTTGTCCCCCCCTTTCTTGACAAAAAGTTTCCCCCCACCAGGAATTTCATTTAAGTATTTTAGACATTTTTATGTCAAAATCCTGACATGGTCATTGGGGGGTCATGAGTGGGAGTGGCAAATGTGGTGTCACTTTCACCACATTCCACAAATAAACAAACTCTTGTGGTGCCGCAGGGAAATATTTTTATAAACCAAATAAAACGAACTAGAAGTTGCGCCTCTCTACAGTTGTGCTCTAATTTTTTCCATGGAAGACGTCCTTCCAATTTTCTAGAGAGGGGGAAGTCCCCCCAATTTTCCAGAGGGGGAACGTCCCCCCTCCCACATCAAGCCGCCTCCCCATTTTACCTTGACTACTTCAGGAGATTTAGGTTTTGATTTGGCCACCTCAGATCTCCTCCTTGAAGGTTTAATCTCCTTCTTCCCTCTCCTGGAGGGGGCGGGCTCCTCATGCTCCTCCTCCTCCTCCTCGTCCCCTGAGTCTAGGAGGGAGAAGATTTCCGAGTTCCCTAAAGATTACATAAATTAGAAACTCACTGATGTTCCCTTTATTTTTAAAAAAAATGTCTACATTGCACATGTTCCCTTTATTTTTTTTTAAAAAAAATGTCTACATTGCACATGTTCCCTTTATTTAAAAAAAATGTCTAAATTGCACATGTTCCCTTTATATTTTTTTTAAAAATGTCTACATTGCACATGTTCCCTTTATTTAAAAAAAAATGTCTACATTGCACATGTTCCCTTTTTTTTAAAAAAATGTCTACATTGCACATGTTCCCTTTATATTTTTTAAAAAAATGTCTACATTGCACATGTTCCCTTTATTTTTTTAAAAACATTCCAGATTAACAACCGACCAAGCAATGTCAACCTACCATCCAACTAATGTTTAAAAAACCCCATAACAAACAACAACCAGACTACTGAACAACCAGACTACTGAACAACCAGACTACCAAACAACTTGTCAAACAATGTCTACAAATGTAACAAACAACATCCAACTTTGTAAAAACGGAAATATTTAAACCCAGCCAAACAAATAAACAGCTTACCAACAAAAAAACGTACAACCAAAGAAACTACAAACCTCCAACGCTTAGGATCCGAAAAAATATGCTGATCCACGGATCTGGATCCAAGGGGTAAAATATCAACCAAAAGCTGCAAAAAAAAAACTTTTTACTCCTAAAACACAAAACCCAAATTTTGAATAAGAGAGATTATAAAAATTTCATTATTTCTAAATGGTTCATCAAGTTTTAGGATAAAAATAAGCGAAAAAAATGTAACAAAAAATTAGAAAATTAATTTTTGTTAAAAAATTCAGTAAATCTTAAAAATGACCTGGATCCGGATCCATTTTTTTCCAGTGCGGATTCCGGATCCGGATCCGCATCAAAATTAAATGGATCCTAAGCACTGCCCCCAACCTAATGGGCTAACTAACAATCAAACGACATTCAGTCTACCAAACTAACATCCTAATAAACAATAATGCTTCCAACAAGAAACCAAATCAACTAAAAGTAAAATCTACCAAATTAAGTTTATATTTACCTAAACCAACGGATGGCCCAAAACTTTTCTTGCTTTCTCCACCACAGCTAATTCTCACTTTCTTCCCACTTCCTAGTTTAATATATAATCAGTAGATAAGATAATGCGTAAGAATTTTAAGACAATTTGCCAAATAAGCGAATATTAGTTAAAATATTAAAAATGTGAGAAGTGGAATATATTTGCAAATGTATTTGGTAGGGGGTAATTAATAATATGATTAGCAGAATCGTTCAGAATTGGCAAATTAGCGAAATTTCCAAAAATACTATTGACCAGCGAAGTTGATAGTAAAGATATATTGTGTACTAGCTGGAGGGCCCGGCGTTGCTCGTGGAAAAAAGGTATAAAAATGCAATTTTTTATAATAAAACAACCCCCGGGTACCTATGAGTGTCCATAAAAAAATTTCAACCCAATCGTTCCAGCCGTTTGGCCGGCTATCGGTGACATCTATACGAATGTCTTGTTTTATTTAAATAGATAGATTTAAAGTTAGAAACCTGTGGTCGTTACAATCTCAGTAAAGTAGTTAATGGTAATTGATAAATGTGTATTTAAAGTTAGAAACCTGTGGTCGTTACAATTTCAGTAAACTTTTCAGCATTTTTCTTTCCCTTCTCCTCCTTTCCAACAGATTTATCTCTTTTG